AAACCAAGAAAAGACTCGCATAAATAAAAAGGAAGAAAGAAAGAAGAATACGAATAAAATAAAGCAGAGAGTGAAATAAAAGAGGATTGAAAGAAATTAGAAAATGGATGAAAGTAAAGAATTGAAAGAAAACAAGAATGAACAAAAAGAAGAATAAAAAAAAAGAATCAAAGAAAGAAGACTAGCAATGAGAGAACCGAAGTGAAAAAAAGGACAAATGAAATAGAAGCAAGAAAGAAAGAAAGAAAGAAAGAAAGAAAGAAAGAACGAAAAAGAATACAAATGAAAGAAATTAGAACGTGAAGTGAAATAGACTGAAAGAAATAAGAAAAAGATTGAATGAAAGGAATTGAAAGAAAAGAAGAAGAAGAAATGAAAAGAGGAATGAAAAAAGAATGAAAGAAAGGAAACTAGCACTGAAAGAACAGGAGTGAAAGAAAGGACAAAAGAAAGAAAGAAAGAAAGAAAGAAAGAAAGGAAAAAAGAAAGAAAGAAAGAAAGAAAGAAAGGACAAAAGAAAAAAAGAAAAGAAAAAAGAAAGAAAGAAGGAAGGAAAGAAAGAAAGAAAGAAAGGAAAAAAGAAAGAAAAAAAGAAAGAAAGAAAGAAAGAAAGAAAGAAAGGAAAAAAGAAAGAAAAGAAAGAAAGAAAGAAAGAAAGGACAAAAGAAAAAAAGAAAAGAAAAAAGAAAGAAAGAAAGAAAGAAAGAAAGAAAGAAAGAAAGAAAGGAAAAAAGAAAGAAATAAAGAAAGAAATAAAATAAAATAAAATAAAATAGAACTGGAAGAAAAGAGAAAACGAATGAAAGAAAGGCATTGAAAGAAATAAGTATGGACGAAAAGAGGAATGAAAACAAAGAAAAATGAAAGAATGGAAACTAGCAACCAGAGAACAGAAGTAAAAGAACAGACTAAAGAAAAAGAAAAAGTGTTTAAGAATGAATGAAAGCAGTTAAGGAATTAAAGCAAGATCATAAAATCGCTATTCTTCTTTTGCCGTTAAATTTTGCTCCATTAATGTAAATGGTACTTAACGACTTTGAATAGTTGTCAGAACAAGGACAAAGAGAGATGGTAAAGAGTCAAAAGTTACTTAGTGAAATAAAAGACAGGAAGTTGTGAAGAGTCATAATCTACTAGATTCTAAAGAAACTCTGCGCCTAAAAGAAGCATAGAGACGGACATCTGCTGACCTCTGCTTTTAGCGACAGAGTCATTCAGAGAACAGCTAGCTAGCTGGATTACAACTGTGTGCTTGTCTAAATTAACTTTGTCTCTTGTGTTGACACTCACAAACAAAGAACGACTTAAAATGTATGAGACAATAAAGAATTAAATTTAGAAATTTTAGAAATTAATAAGAATTAAATTTAGCCTGAAAATCTGCATTCCTTTCTCTGAAATAAAGTTTTTTTTAATTTTTTTCAACTTGATGCTAAATTCGTAAGCAACAGAATTATGAAGTATGACCTTTTTATGCCCGTCATAATTCATTAGAAAAGAAAACATATTTTGCAGTTTTTATTATTATTATTTATATTATTAATTTCTTCGCTTCTATCGCAAGTTTTTTTCTCCGATTTCAATTGGGGATCTTGCATTGTGTGTGTTCTCCATCAATTCCGAAGAACGCGGACAGCAAGCACCCTTCGCAAACTATTTGCAGTGCCAAGCAACACAAACTTCTGACATGATGGGATTAGACGTTATTCAGATTTTCTTACTGTAAGACCTTAATGCCGATGGTATAAACGCAACTGATAATGATGACTGGGATAGTAGTGAACTGAACGTCCCACATCTCACTCTGGAAGTCGTTGTTCATCTTAAAATTGTCAACCTCTTTGAACTTGATATTATAGTCACCAGAAAACATCCACGTCGATGAGGCATTTTCATGTTTTTATTATTATTATTATTATTATTATTATTATTATTATTATTATTATTTCAACGAGGGTATGCGAATGAATAGAAATTATTAAAATTAAAAAAAATCTCAAATGTAATGTTCTAAAAGAGAGTATAAAGCGGCGATGAGTAAGAAAAGTCAATATATATATATATATATATATATATATATATATATATATATATATATATATATACAAGTATATAATTGGTATATATGGAATGAATTCCAATAACAAACAATTACTATTCTTAAAAGAGTGTTCAATACAAAGTAGAGCAGATATAAAATTTATAAAAAAATTATAACATAAGTATGTTATAAAATCACTACATACTTATGTTATAATTTTTTTTATAAATAATAATATATATATATATATATATATATATATATATATATATATATATATATATATAGTACAAGTATACAATTCAGGTGGATCCTAGTAATATCAAATATAAAAGCTGATCAACAGAGAGAGCTCAATGTATTTATTATAACAGAGCATATATTTTATACAACAAAAAAATCCAAAATAGCCTCATGTGGGTATAGTCTATATCAGGCCAGCACTGCCAAATACCGGTTCTCCTAAGCTCTTGACAGACGATTCCGAGACAGTTTAGGGCAAAGGAGGACCGGCATTAGGCACTGCTGGTTTGAAATTGACTATACCCACATGAGATCATTTTGGATTTTTGCTGGATAAAATTATATATATATATATATATTCATCTAGAGGTTTGTGGGTTAATGTAATTTTAATAAATTTGTTTGCGAAGATGTATTCTCGCCATTTATATCATTAACTTCACTAATATGTTTTTTGTATGAATGATTCATATAATATATATATATATATATATATATATATATATATATATATATATATATATGGTAAAGAGGAGATAAACTGTAAACGTTTTTGGTTGAAATGTGGATTTTTTTTTTAATATATATACTATACTCTATTTTTATGTTCCATAATTCTGCTACACGTGTTCCTGATTTCGCGACCTTCTTCAACCAGCGAGGAGATAGAGATATTTCCACATATTATAAACATGAATTTTTTGCGTTAGTTCATGAACTTTGAAGAATTTTATCAGTTCTTTTCTTTATCGGTCTATGTTTATTTTACGTAGTAAGATTACACCGTCGTCTCTATAAAGTCCTGTATTATTAATATGGAACAGATATCTCAATAGCCACATTAAGAAAATTCCAACTATTTCACTATCTCTGCTGAATCAAATGACCCCACAGTAATGTTGAATTTTTCATTGTTTCCTATATTCCACAGATATCCATAATCATACAGCATGAACTAAAAAGTTACCACAATAACTAATGTTAAAATTGAACAACATTCTCGACAGGTCCTTGGATTTGAATACTGGTAGATACAAATCCTACATAAAAGATTTACACAAACAGAAATACGTTAATAGCCAATCAAATCATCCCCGTATTATGCTTGAACATTTACACAAAGCAGTAAAATATAGACTAATAATTACTCTAGTAACAAGGAAATATTTGAAGGATTTGTGATAATCATAATCAAGTAATTCATCGAGTCTAGAAGAAACCTCAACAGAATGCAGAGAGCACTGGACTATCAAATATAGGACGAAACGCACGTCCAGTGCTCTCGGCATTCTGTTAAGGTTTCTACTAGACTCGATGAATTATTTAATTATAATTATCTCAAATCCTCCTAATTTCTTTCACTTGTATATATATATATATATATATATATATATATAAATTTTTGTTTGTGTGTTCACACCTTGTGCAAATTAATTCATACAAAACGAATAATTCCGTTATTATTTACTATTTTTCCTATGAAACATGACCCAGTGCACGTGTTAGTACTTCGTGTGTCCATTCCACTTCGTATATCCATTCCACTTCGTGTGTTCATTCCTTGAAGATTGACCACAGATTATCGATTGGATTTAAATCAGGAGAGTTTACGGGCCAGCCTATATTTCTTTGATTTGCTAACTGGTAACGCTTGCCAGTGTGTTCGTGCAGCGTTACAATTTTTGCATGCTTCCTTGGAGTAACGTCCACTGCAGACAATGGCTGTAGGACAAATAATCGACAGTTGAGACACTAGTGTCTGGGCGTGATGAAAATCTGATGCAATCACGGATGACAAAATATTTTTCAAGACCAAACAAATTTCATCATACACCTCGAAAATAGATTCATATTACTGCAGACCACTGCTAATTTGAGAAAAATAGAAATCGATTACACCCTGTCACTCCAGTGGATCTAAAACTGATCGTATGGTGAAAGAAAGGAAACTAAAGCGGTTGTTTTAATTAATTTTCATGATGATATATAAATATATATATATATATATATATATATATATATATATATATATAAAGCGAATATAGAAGTCAACGCTTAGAGGCGACAGTCTGTTTCATGCTACATGCAATCGTCGTGACATGACGATTGCGTCTAGCATGAAAAAGACTGTTGTCTCTAAGTGTTGACTTCTGTGTTCACTTTTATATTTACACACGATCTATCTCTGATATTGAGCACTTTATCCCATAAATATAGCACACCTTAAGACTATATTTCTTCATATATATATATATATATATATATATAAAATTCCATTTGTAGACATGGCATGATTTTTATGATTGCATAGATGTGCATATTCGTATTTACATTTTGATTATATTTTTCTTGCTGGAAGTATGTACATGTTTATATGTATATATATTATTTAATTAACTTTTTTGTCATTTACTTCTGCTTATTTTTAATTTATTTTATTTTTTAGAATTGTTTTATTTTTATTTATTTTACTTTTTCTTTCTTCTGTTTCTAAGCAAACCACGTAAATGATATGGACTGCTCCATTATTATTATAGTCTGGTATATATATATATATATATATATATATATATATATATATATATATATATATAAATTTAAATTATGTAACGGTCAGTTTTCAATCAACACCTGAAAACTGCGTTGTGCATGACACTCAGAACTGTGCTACTGTTATAATGAAACACACCTATTCTATTGTTAATAGACTCTCCCA